ACAAATGCATACATAATAAAATTTTACTTAATAATAATCCCACAATCCCTATGGAGAAAAATAGAGAAGGCAAGTGAATAGGAGGTGATGATGCAAGGGTGCTATTTTGTTAAGATGGTCAGAGAAGGTCTAACAAGTTGACCTCTGAGCATGAGCCTATTGTCAATTTAAATGGAGATGTGGAGTAGAGGGAGATCTGGTGGCACAGTTCATAGCAAGTTGTGCTGCTACCCCAAAGGCTGAACGTCTCTAGTGGTTCAAATTCACCAACTGCTCCAAGGGAGAAAGATGATCAGTTTCCTTTTATTCCACTTTATAGCTTCAGAAACTGATGGGGGGTTAGCTATGAGTCAGAAGGGACTCAAAGGCAGTGATATGATGAGATGATGCATAGAGGAGATAAAGATGTTATTTAAAACTATAGGGCTAAAAGGGATTACTTGTGATATATGACTATGGAGGAATGAGCTCTAGTAACTGAGTTGTAAGGAGTTGCAGTGCTAATCCAAAGGCAGAAGCTGGCTCAAATCCAGCAGCTGTTCCACAGGAGTAAGAAGGGCATTCTCCTCCTGAGCAGTTTACTGCCTCAGAAAATTCTTGAGAGGGTGAGCTCTCAGTTAGTTTTGATTCATGGTACATAACAACAACAAAAACAATGGAAGGGCTGAAGCCAAGCCAGGGGAATAGTCTAATGTATTGAAACCCTGTTTCTCAATCTTGACTACATTAGAGCCTCTGTGGTGACCTAGTGGCAAGAGACTGTGCTGTAACCCTTAAAGCATGAGGTTCAGGGCCACGAGCTGATCTGCAGAAGGCTGGGCAATCTCCTGTTGTGCTATTAACTGCCTTTGAAAACTCGCTGGAAGGTCAGCTATGGGTCGATTCTGACTCTCTGGTACACAACAAACAACATGGAACATTCATAAAAATACCAATATTCAGGACCAACTGTTTAAAAATTCCAACTTAACTAGTTAAGTAGTTTGAGTTGAGACAGCTATACTTTTAAAGCCACCAGATGGCTACATTAGGAAGCCAAGACAGAAAATCACTGGTTGCAAAGTTGGGAAGAAGATAACATAAAAGTGAAGAATGAAAAGATACATTTGGAAAAGGAAGAAAAATCCATGCTCTGCCTACTGTTTTAGCATCCATTCTGACTCACAGGACAGAGTAGAACTGCTCGGTAAGGCTTCCACAACTTTCAGGAAGCAGATTGCATCATTTTTCTCCCAAGGCTAAGAACTGTTAGGATCAAAGTATCTGCTTTTAGGTGGTTGTTGTTGTTGTTATGTGCTATCGAGTCATTTGCAACTCATAGCGAGCCTATGTACAAGAGCTCTAAATGTTGTTCTATCCTGTACCAAACGAGCCATCTCAAACGCAC